AAGAGGAAGACCCAATTATGGATGGATAAACAAGGATGCCATAGCCAAGTTTGCCAAGACATGAGTAGGGCTGTTGATGATATGGTGACTTGGAAGTTTCTGGTTCACAGGGTCACCATAGGTCAAAGTTGACTTGATGGCAGTTAACAACAAGAACTCACATTTTTACGTGCACTGTATACTGGTATCAAGGTACTGTTACTGCAGCAAGATATCCTAACAGCATTTTATAGCTGTTTTTTTTTTCAGATTTTGCATTTCATTTTTAACTTTAAACTTAAAAATGACTAAAATAGTTTGAGACCTGGGTTACAGAATTGTTGTAGCATAGCAAAGACTGTTCAACAGTCTAAGAAATAAATCACAGGGAACTATGTGGGGCTTGGGGTTTATCTCCAGATGAACTGGTATAGGATTGCTGTACTGCAAGCAAATGCACTTGGAAATATGCATGTGAGTGAGATGTTTGTTCAGTTGGAGAGAGACTGTACCTAAACACTAAAAACTATTTAAGAACAGCTGAGTTATTGTAACTGTGTACTGTTTAAAACAGTCAGAAGCAGTTTGACATGTGAGAATAATTTTTGAATCTATGTAATAGTACACTTCTCCCTCAACATTTGCGGCTTTGACTTTTGCAGATTTGATTATTCACGGATTTTATTAACATGTTCTCTCTAAGAATATCTAGATCCTCCAGTGCAACTCTATGGTCAACTTTAACCAAAAGTTGCAATGAAGGGCCTACAGCAGTGATGGCAAACCTATGACATGCGTGTCAGCTGAGGCGGCTGCATGCCAAGTGCAGTAGCCGAGGATGAAACATTTGCTACTCCTGAGGATGAAACATTTGCGACTAGAATCAGAGTTAATGTTTCATCCTCCCCTATTAGACACTCTGTGCCAGAGGTTTGTAGGCCAAAACAACAGAAGCCCAGCATAAAGCATCTAGTTCTGGGACTTCAGGACAAAGTATTTAGGCCTGTCCCTCCTCCTTCCAGTGGCGAAATAATGTTTTTCCCTCAAAGTGACACACCACCTGAGTTATGCTCAGTTTTTTGGCGAAGTTTGACACACCAAGCTCAAAAGGTTGCCCCTCACTGGCCTAGAGATTTCTAGAGAGAACACTCCACTAGGCATTTGTAGCTCCTCCAGTACAATTCCATGGTTGTTGACCACAGAGTTGCACTGGAGGACCTGGAGATTCCTAGATAGGTGTTCTCAAGTGCTTTTGTTATTTGTGGTTTTTCCACATCGACGGGGTCCTGTACCCCTAATCCCAGTGAATGTGGAGGGCCAACTGTACTGTACTATTTTATGTAAACCTGTGTAGAGAAAGTTGGCAGCTCTTAAATGTTTGAGAAATTTCTAATATTGATAAAATGCAAATAAATTGAACTAAATGTAACATTGTGCTAGTGCATTTTTCCTCCCTCTTGCACTCTCCCAAAATGCTCCATATGGTTTTCTACCTCTCTGGAGCAGATTATGAGGTTTAAAGGGGGCTTCAAGAAGGAAGGTAAATCCCACCCATCTGTTTCCACTGATGAATTTTCTTGTCAGCAGAATGACATTGCTGGATCCTGGCCTTTGCATTCCTGATTGTAAAGATATTCACAGTCTAATCTTGTGCATTTATTAAGAAACTACCCTCTTTTGACTTTAGTGCAGCAAGTGTTTGTTGTTGTTTACTGCTTCCCAGTTGACTCCGACTCATGGTGACCCTGTGGATTAGACATCTCCAAGATCCCCTGTCCTCCACTGCTCTGCTTAGGTCTTGCAGACTCAAGCCCATTGACTTCCCTGATTAAGTCTAGCCATCTGGTGTGCAGTCTTCTTCTTTCTACTGCCTTCTGCCCTTCCTAACATTATTGCCTTTTCTAATGAATGCTACCTTCTGATGATTTGACCAAAAGTACAACAGCCTGTTTCATCATCTTGGCTTCCAGTGAGAGTTCAGGCTTAATCTGTTCTAGGACCCATCTGTTTGTCTTTTGGGCTATCTCAGTAGTCTTCTCCAGCACCAAATTTCAAATTAGTTGATTTCCTTCCTTTTTTCACTGTCCACTTCTCAAATCCATACATGGTGATGGGAAATACAACTCAATTCTAACTTTAGTGTTAAATTTTAGATCTTTGCACTTTAGACTCTTATCCCGTTCTTTCCTAGCTGCCCTTCCCAGTCTTCTGATTTCTTGACTGCAGTCTTCATTCTAGTCAATATTTGACCGGAGGTATGGGAAACCTTTAACTATTTTGATTTCCTTGTTGTCAAGTTGAATGTATGTAAATCCTCTGTGGCCATTATTTTTGTTTCCTTTATGTTCAGCAGTAAGTCTGCCTTTGCACTTTCTTTTTTAACTTTCCTTAGTAATTATTCCAGTCTATGATGTTTTCCACTAGTATTATGGTGCCATCTGCATATCTTAGATTGTTGATGTTGTTTCTTCCTCTTTACTGATCCTTCTTCTGTGTCTAGTCCTGCTCTTCATATGATATTTTCTGTGTACCAGTTGAACAAGTAGGGTGACAGAATGCAGCCTTGCTTGCTTCCTTTGCCAACTGGGAACCATTCTGTTTCTCCATATTCTGTTCTAGCAGAGATATACAAATGAACAAGTAGATTCCTCATCAGTACTATCAAATGTAGTGGCACTCCTATTGCAGAATTACACTGACAATATTATGCTTGTTTACTCAAATGCAAGTCCTGTAGAGTTCAATATGTCTTACTCTCAGATACGAAGATTTACAATTGCAGTCTTAGACAGAAAGAACTTGGATTGGTAATATAGATGTTTATTACTGAGTGTATGCAGTACAATAGTCTGAAATTCACAAATATTCCCGTTTTCCTTTCTAGTTCTATTTCTGGAGAAGATCCTTAATCTGGTTGAAGGTAGACTTAGAAAACAAGTGAAAACTTATTTAAAAATGTAGACCGCATTTCTTTAGAACTCTTGATAAACACTTGTTTATAGATTTCAGTAATAAAGATAGTAACATCACAGCATGTGGATATTTCCTGGAATATATTAAATGAATTATGTGTAGGAGATTGTAAGGATGAAATTTTTTTTTCTACATATGTTGTGTTTTCCTTCACTTCAGGACATTATCTCTATTCCTAATAAATTTAATATTACTAGTACAGCATGGCTATTTGATAACATTAAAGCTCTCCTAAAAACATTTCACTTTATTACCACTTGGTAAGATTTAGAGTTGCTCTGCTGCACTGTGTAGATCACTGGAATTGAATGATCCTTGCCTGCAAGCAGGATGACTTGAAATATTCTGAAGTGATGGAAGAGCAGAGCAATGGTTTCCCCAGGTTCCCCCCACAATCTTGGGCACTGATGCAATTGACGGAATTGCAAGAGGAGATACTCAGCGATATAGAATGTACCAATGGTAGATTCAATGGTTAAGTTTGCTAACTTTACAGGTACTGTACAGGTTGAGTCTCCCTTGTCCAGAATTCTGAAACCCCAAATCTAAAATATTCCAAAAATCAAAACTTTTTTCATGTGTGGCTGAGATAGTGACGCTTTTGCTTTCTGACAGTTAAGTGTACACAAACTTTTGTCTCATGCACAAAATTATTAAAAGCATTGTAGGAAATTATCTTCATTCCATGTATAAGGTGCATATGAAACATAAATGAATTTTGTGTTTAGACTTGGGTCCCATCTCCAAGATTATCTCATTATGCATGTATACACAAATACAGGAATCTCAATTTTTAAAAATAATATCCAAAACCCAAAGCACTTATAGTCTCACGTATTTCAGATAAGGGAGCATCAACCTGTACTGTAATCTGCTAGCCTATATTCTCCAGACTTTGGCAAAATAGTAATTATTATGTATAGAGGTGAATGAAGCCAGACTGAACATTAAACATAATAGAAACAAGGGCAAGGGGAATATTATAACTTTTATTTAATTATTTTTAGATTCTAAGCCTGAGGGTAGTGAACTGTCAAATTAACTATCTATAAGCAGCTCTATAAGCAGCCTTTGTGGCTGAAGAGGGGGGTATAAATACTCTAAATAAATAAATATTTCCTTGCCCGTAATTTTGTAAAAAAACAAGTATTGGTTGATTGGTTTTAACTATGAAAGTACAGAAAAAAGTGAAGGAATAGCTCAGCTGCTTTTCCATCTGAGTTTCCATATGATATTTTCAAAATGGAGTTGTTGTAGTTGTGTGCCTTTAAGTCGTTTGAGACTTATGGTTGTTTTGGGTTTGTTTGTTTTTTTTTTTTTGCAAGATTTGTTCAAAGGGGACTTACCATTGCCATCCTCTGAGGCTGAGAGTGTGTGACTTGCCCAAGATCAGCCATTGGGTTTCCATGGCCGAACTGGGATTCACACCCTTGTCTCCAGAGTCATAGTCTAATGCTCAAATCACTACACTGCACTGCTGAAGACTAAATTGGTTAGTCTTAAAAGTATCTCATAACTTCTTCCTTCCCTGTAATACTTTATAAGCAAAGTGAGAAAAATGCTTCTGGTGGCAAATATTTTTTTGGGGGGGCAATCATGGCATTCCCTTCCAACTATTTCTTCTGAATCCCTTGGCCTTTCTTGGAGGATGGAGCTCTGGTGCCACACTGCTTGATCTGCACATCCTACCTTCCTACTCTCAGGTGTCACCAGTACTGCAGTAAAATTGTATTGCCAGTTTGGCTTCCATACATGAAATGGAAGGTGGGAAGAGGACCTTGCAAAATGTCATGGGCCATCTTTGTTAGTACAGTTCTTCTATGTAGACTTATGCAAACAGGTAGGTTACAACTTACATCCACTATTACCATTTATAACTGGGTGAACTTCAAAATGTTTTCTTAAATATGACTGTTGTTGTTGTGTACCTCCAAGTCCTTTCCGACTATCATGGAGTTTTCTTGGCAAGTTTCTTCAGAGGGGGTTTGCCATGGCCATTCTCTGAGGCTGAGAGAGTGTGACTTGCCCAGTCACCCAGTAGGTTTACAAAGCTGAGCCAGGATTTGAACCTTGGTCTCCAGAGTCCTAGTCCAGCAATTAAAGCACTACACCAAGCTGCTCTCAAGTATGCTTAGTTACAGCAATTATGGTCCAAAACACACTGCAGAAATAGTCTAGCTTGAAACCATTTTAACTGCTCTGGCTCAATGCTAGGAAATTCTCGGAATTGTAATTTTATGAGAAATTTAGCCTTCTCTGTCAGAAAGCTTTGGTGCCACAATAAACTACAATTCCCAGGATTCCCTAGCACCGAGCAAAGGCAGTTAAAGCAGTCTCAAACTGGATTATTTCTGCAATGTGTTTTGGACCTAAATTTTCTTTTCATGAATTGTCAATTTGGAGAAAGCAGTGCAGTCACAGAGCAGCTGAATTTACAAAGAAATCACTTAGTCCAGCCACATGATCCCAAAAGTTGAATTGATGAAAAGACTAGAGTTTAATGGCATACTTCCCTGCATCAATACAACTTAGCCCCCTACCTCAGAAATCATCAGTGTAATAAGAAAACTAGAGATAAGTTTCACAAGAAATAATAGTAACTAGGTCTGGAAGCTGAGTTGATGTC